GCATTTTGTGTGTGCATGCATGCATGCATGCATGCATGCATGCATTTCCTTTTTCAAGTTATTCTTCTTTGGGAGTTCCACATGCAGCTGCAGAGGCTCCGTCAGAAGGCGTTTTTGTTGCTTCAGTCTCCAGACCTTCTAAAATACTTTTAATTATTTTTAAAAAGCTTCAAATGGAATTTGACTTTTTATTAATTCAAAACAATTAAAAACAAAAACCAAAAAGCCTTTTTCTTGCCAACTACTGGCTCACCCTCAAAAGCCAACTCCCGCCATTCCTCCAGCGCATTATTTCTGCAAACAAATCCCGAAACTCCCACGCCCACCAGGTGTACGTACACCCCAAAATGCATGCATGCATGCATGCATGCATGCATGCATGCATGCACGGGTCCCTTGTTTTGGGGTTTTGCAAGGGGAAAAGGGTTTTATTTCTTTCTCTTTTTGCGCCTATCTCCAGGCCTGCTTGAAAGCTATTTTTCTGTGCTGCTGCCCGTGCCTCCCGCCGCGGTTTGCTGCTGCAGACGTGCTGCAGCAGCAGCAGCAAAGTGGTTCGTGCTGCAGCAGCAGCAGCAGCAGCAAAGGCCTTACTTTTTGGCGCGTCTCTTTTCGCTGGTGGTTCTTTTTTGTTTTTTCTGCGCGCCGGGTTTGCTGCTGGCTTTCTGCTGCTGCTTCTTCCTGCGTTCCTTCTCCTGCTGCTGCTGCTGCCGCTTGGCCCGCTGCTGCTGCAGCTGCTGCTGCCGCTGCTGCTCCCGCTCCAAGTCATACTTGTAAGGAACTAATAAAGGGTCTACGGGGCTTTGAACAAAACTCTTGAGGCTTTTCCCCACAACTTCGCGCATGCGCGGCAGCCGCAGCAGCCGCAGCGCCGTCCCCAGCTTCCCCAGGTCCAGTTGCTGCAGCAGCAGCAGCAGCAGCAGCAGCAGCAGCAGCAGCAGCAGCAAAGAGCAGCAGCAGCAGACGCAACGCGGAACGCAGAAGGATAAGGCAGTCAGAAACACAGCGAGCACGGCCAGCCACTACAGACGCATTTTTGTGCTACTGCCACTGCTGCTGCAGTTGCTGCTGCTGCTGCTGCTGCTGCTGCTGCTCCTGTTGCTGCTGCTGCTGCTGCTGCTGCTGCTGCCGCTGCCCACCGCATAAGGCAGGAGAAAAGAAAGTTGGTGCTCCTTGTAGGCGCGGATAAAAGAGACAAAGGCGCGGGCGCCCTTCTGAATAAGGGCTTGGTCCTGGATACACAAACCACAAAATTAGGGTTTAGGGTTTAGGGTTTAGGGTTTAGGGTTTAGGGTTTAGGGTTTAGGAATGAGTGTGCTCGAAGCAACACTTGAGGCCGAAAATCAAAGAGCCACTAGCCAGCTGCTTGTGCTTGCTGCCCCAACTTAAACCCTATGCCCCACGCCATACACTCTAAACCCTAAACCCTAAACCCTAAACCCTAAACCCTAAACCCTAAACCCTGAACCCCGGGCCGAACCCTTAACCCCAATCTTGGGCCAGGGGCCTGCTAGTGGTCGCTGTCCTTTCTAGCCCTGAGCTGCATTTAGTTGTTTGAAAGAGGAAATTAGGGTTTAGGGTTTAGGGTTTAGGGTTTAGGGTTTAGGGTTTAGGGCTACCTGCTGCACAGCGAGTTGCATTGCGTCGTTGACGGCATCTGTTTCTGCCTTGGACAGGAAGGGGTTGTGCGTCTGCTGCTTCTCGTCAGCTGCTGCTTCCGCGTCTGCTGCTGCTGCTGCTGCTGCTGCTGCTGCAGTTTGCTGCAGCTGCTGCCCCTCCTGTGTCTCCTCAAAGGGACACAAAGGGACTCCGCGGTTTCGCAAAAATGCTTCGTAAGCTTCTTCGTGCTGCAGCAGCAGCAGCAGCGCAGCGCCGCTGCGGCCGGCGCGCGCAGTGCGCCCAATGCGGTGTACGAACACCTCAGGGTTCTGCCAGCAGCAGCAGCAGCAGCAGCAGCAGCAGCAGTGGAGCAGCAGCGCCGCAGCTGGTCGCGGCTGCAGCAGCAGCAGCGGAATGCTGCACTGCAGCGAATCGTCCAGTCGGAAGCAGCAGCGGCAGCAGCAGCCGAGAGAGCAGCTGCAGTCAGCTGCAGCAGCCAATGCAGCACCAGCAGCAGCAACAGCAGCAGCAGCAGCAACAGCAGCAGCAGCAGCAACAGCAGCAGCAGCAGCAACAGCAGGTAGCTCATGCCTGTGGCGGGTCCATCTGGATAATCCATTTGACATCGGGGAAGTCGAGGCCCCTCGCCGCAACATCAGTAGCCAGAAGCACTAAAGCCCCGCTGCTGCTGCTGCTGCTGCTGCTGCTGCTGCTGCTGCTGCTGCTGCTGCTGCCGCAGAACCTGCTGAGTGCTGCATGGCGGGCCCTTTGCTTCATGCGGCCATGCAGCTTCTCCACGAGGGCCCCACAGCCCCGGCCGCCCCCCCTTGGCTTCAGGGGGCCCCCACTGTTCTTAAAGGGCCCCCCTTCCTTAGGGGGCCCCCCAGGGGGGCCCCCAGGGGGGCCCCCCGGGGGGCCCCCCGGGGGGCCCCCCGGGGGGCCCCCAGGGGCCCCTTCTTCTAAAGGGTTATTGTTGAGCAGCTCTTGAAGAAGAAGATAAAAGTAATAGTCAACGCATTGGCATGTCAGGCAAAACACTATGCAGCGTTTGCCTTGGGGGATTACCACACGCCTGCAGCAGCAGCAGCAGCAGCAGCAGCAGCAAGAGCAGCAGCAGCAGCAATAGCAGCGGCAGCAGAAGCAGCAGCAGCAGGAGAAGCAGTTGGGAATCCAGCGACAATAGCAGGAGTAGCTCCAGAGGAAACCCCCCCACGAGGATCCAACTTGAATCAGTAGCAGCAGCAGCAGCAGCAATAGCAGCAGCAGCAGCAGCAACAGCAGCAGCAGCAGCAGCAGCAGCAAACGGACTGGATGAATTTGAAGAGGAAAGGCAGCTTTTCTGTGTAGTCAAAAGTGGCCACCGAATTGTGCAGCGTAGAAGGCACAGAGTGCTGCACTCCGGAGGGTTGGGGGGCCCCCTGCTGCTGCTGCTGCTGCTGCTGCGCGGGGGCCCCCTGTCCGGGGGCCCCCCCAGCAGCAGCAGCAGCAGCAGCTGCTGCTGCTGCTGCTGCTGCAGCAGGCGCAGCAGTGACCCGCACGCAGACAGGCTCCCGCAGTATTCCCTTTATGATTTGCTGCTGCAGCGTCCCCGACAAAGTGGCTGAGAAGAAAGCAGTCTGCAGCCGCTGCTGCTGCCTGCGTTGGCTGGGCAGCAGCTGCTGCTGCCTTGCTGCTGCTGCTGCTGCATGCAGCTGCTGCAGCTGCTGCGCGTGCTGCTCGTCCAGCAAGCGGTCCGCCTCGTCCACCAGCAGCAAATTCAAACAGCTCCAGTCCCACGACGGCTGCAGCAACACTCACGCACTTGCTGCTGCTGCTGTGCTGCTGCTGCGCTGCTGCTGCTGCTGCGCTGCTGCTGCTGCTGCTGCTGCTGCTGCGCTGCTGCTGCTGCTTAGGGAGTGAGGTGTTAGTGTAACAAATGGAAGCAAATCGCTGCAAGCGTCGCTGCAAACCCGCTTCTAGGTGCTGCTTTGTTGTTGCAGCAGCCGCAGCCCCCGCAGCAAGAAGCTGCTGCTGCTGCTGCTGCTGCTGCTGCTGCTGCTGCTGCTGCTGCTGGGGGCGGCGTCGGGCGGCGGCTGCAGCAGCACGCGCTCTAGTGCTGACAGCAGCTGCTGCAGCACTGCATGCGTTTGGCAGCAAAGTTCCCGCGTGGGCGCAACAACAAGGGCCCCAAGTCTGCAGCGCAGCTCAGACTCTGCTGCTGCTACTGCTGCTGCTGCTGCTGCTGCTGCTGCTGGGTCTGGGTCTGCAGCAGCAGCAGCAGCTGCTGCTGCTTCTTCGGCTGTTTCCGTGAGTGCGGCGCGCAAATCAATGTCGCCTTCTGGCTGCAGCTGCAGCTCTTCTTCCTCCTCCTCGTCCTGCCCATTTTGCTGCTGCTGCTGCTGCTGCTGCTGCTTCTGCTGCTGCAGCAGCAGCAGCTGCAGCAGCCTCGAGACAGCAGGGATTAGGAAGGCGAGGGTCTTGCCGCTGCCTGTGGGGGCCTCAACAGCAACATCGCAGAAGCGTTTTGCTGCAGCAAGGGCCTCCTTCGTGACGAGCTGCTGCTGCTGCTGCTTCTGCTGCTGCTGCTGCTGCTGCTGCTGCAGCGGCGGCAGCAGCAGCGGCAGCGTCGCCTCCTGCACAGGAGTGCAATGGGTAAACCCTAAACCCTTGAGGGCCCCCACAACACACTCTGGCACACACCCGATGTCTGCAAAGCTGCTGCTCTGCCTAAACCCTTTTTGGGGGGCCCCCCGGGGCCCCCCTGCAGCAGCAGCAGCAGCAGCAGCAGCAGCGGGGCCCCTGGGGGGCCCCCCTGCTGCTGTGGGGCCCCCAGTCTCGAGGGCTCCCGGGGCAGCTTTTCGAGCCTTCTTGGGGGGCCCCTCTTTGAGGGGGCCCCCCTTCTTCTTTTTAGTTCCTTGGGGAAGATCTGGCGCTGCCATGGCAAACCCTAAACCCTAAACCCTAAACCCTAAACCCTAAACCCCAAACCCTAAACCCTAAACCCCAAACCCTGGATCTCAAGCTGCTGCCTCTGTGGCTTGTTAAATATATCAACAGCTTAAGATCTTCCAGAATCTCTTCTTAATAAAAGCTGCTGTGGGGCCCCGGGGGCCCCCGGGGGCCCCCGGGGGCCCCCCAAGCTTCGCCGAGGCCCCACAGCACTGAAACCTGGGGGGCCCTTCTCCAATTTTGCAGCTTAAATTATCGATTTATTCTATTCATTTAATTAAATTTATTTTAATTATTTATTTTATTTAATTAATTTTATTTTTATTATTTATTTGAGGGTTTAAAAGGCGAATTTGGCGCAACAAAACCCTGCCAACTTGGGTGGGCTGCGTTAGCTATGAACAGCAGCAGCAGCAGCAGCAGCAGCAGCAGCAGCAGCAGCAGCAGCAGCAGCAGCAGCAGCAGCAGCAGCAGCGGCAGCAGCAGCAGCAGCGGCAGCTGGCCTGACATTTTCAATGGGCTGGCGCTGCAGCAAACGTGACACGTCGAGTGAGGGTTTGGACCGGGGTTTTGTTTCGAGGGGTTGAGGGGCTCTAGGGTTTAGGGTTTAGGGTTTGGAGTTCTTTCTGAGGGTTTGGGGTTTAGAGTCCCCCCTGAGGGTTTAGGGTTTAGAGCCTTTCCGTAGTATTTAGGGCCACGAGTTGAAGACTCCAAGAGCCACGGCCAAGGGCTTTTAGACGTTTAGGGTTTAGGGTTTAGGGTTTAGGGTTTAGGGTTTAGGGTTTAGGTTTGCTGCTGCACTGCTGCTGCTGTAGATCGCGAGGCGAACAGGCAGCATTCTGAGGTCCCCACACGCCTGAAGATCAGCAGCTGCTGCTGCAGCTCTGCTGCTGCAGCTCTGCTGCTGCTGCAGCACAACAGCAGCAAAACAAAATGCACTAGGCACTGCAGCAAAAGAAGCAGCAGCAGCGAGTAGCAGCAGCAGCAAGTAGCAGCAGCAGCAAGTAGCAGCAGCAGCAAGTAGCAGCAGCAGCGAGTACAGCAGCAGCAAAACAAAATGCACTAGGCACTGCAGCAAAAGAAGCAGCAGCAGCGAGTAGCAGCAGCAGCAAGTAGCAGCAGCAGCAAGTAGCAGCAGCAGCAAGTAGCAGCAGCAGCGAGTACAGCAGCAGCAAAAGCCGCAGCTAGCCAGATCCAGCCAAGCCCATAATAAGCGCCTCGGACTGCTGCAGTTGCGGCGCTGCTGCTGCTGCTAGTTTTGCTGCTGCTGCTGCTGCTGCTGCTATCACTTGGGGGCCCCTCAGGGGTTCTCTATGGGTCATTTGGGGGCCCTGTAGGGCCTCCTGGGGGCCCCCAAATGCCCCCAAAGTGCCCTTTAGGGGCCCCTTAGGGGACTCAAAGAAAAAGCATTTGGGGGGCCCCCAAAGGGCCTCTTTGGGTACTTTAAAAGGACCCAAAGGGGCCCCTAGAGGGCCCAGGAAAAGCATTTAGGGGGCCCCCTTAGGACACATGGGGGCCCCTAGAGAGCCCGCAGGGTACACCAGGGGCCCTTTCGTCTTGGGGCCCCTTAGGGGACCTTTAGGGGCCCTTTAGTGGCCCTTTAGGGGCCCTTTAGGGGCCCTTTAGGGGCCCTTTAGGGGCCCTTTAGGGGCCCTTTAGGGGCCCTTTAGTGGCCCTTTAGGGGCCCTTTAGGGGCCCTTTAGGGGCCCTTTAGGGGCCCTTTAGGGGCCCTTTAGGGGCCCTTTAGGGGCCCTT